AAGGACAGACCTCTCTGTACCACGCAGCTCGCGCTGGCTGGCTGGACATCGTGCGCTTGCTACTGGAGGCCGGCTCTGACCCCAACGTCGCCCATAAGATGAGCGGAGAGATGCCGCTGATGATGGCGGTGAGTAAGGGCGAGGAGGCGGTGGTACGGATGCTGCTCTCACACGGCGCCGACGCCAACGCCGCGGAATCGCAAGGACAGACCTCTCTGTACCACGCAGCTCGCGCTGGCTGGCTGGACATCGTGCGCTTGCTACTGGAGGCCGGCTCTGACCCCAACGTCGCCCATAAGATGAGCGGAGAGATGCCGCTGATGATGGCGGTGAGTAAGGGCGAGGAGGCGGTGGTACGGATGCTGCTCTCACACGGCGCCGACGCCAACACCGCGGACTCGTACGGATGGACCTCCCTGTACCACGCGGCTCTCTTTGGCCGGCTGGACATCGTGCGCCTGCTACTGGAGGCCGGTGCAGATCCAAACGCCGCCAAGACGAAGACTGGGAAAACGACGCTGATGATGGTGGTGTCGGAGGGTGATGAGACGGTGGTGCAGATGCTGCTCTCACACGGCGCCGACGCCAACGCCGCAGACTCGTACGGACACACCGCCCTGTACAACGCGGCTTGCTCTGGCCAGCTAGACATCATGCGCCTGCTACTGGAGGCCAGTGCAGATCCAAACGCCGCCGAGACGCAGACCGGGAAGACGCCGCTGATGATGGCAGTGAGTAAGGGCAAGGAGGCGGTGGCACGGATGCTGCTCTCACACGGCGCCGACGCCAACGCCGCGGACTCATATAGAGAGACCACCCTGCATATGGCGGCTCGCTCTGGCCAGCTGGACATCATGCGCCTGCTACTGGAGTCCGGCGCGGATCCAAACGCCGCGCACTTGTACGGACAGACCTCCCTGTACCACGCAGCTCGCTTTGGCCGGCTGGACATCATGCGCCTGCTACTGGAGGCCGGCGCCGACGCCAACGCCGCGGACTCGCACGGAGAGACCTCCCTGCACATGGCGGCTTGCTCTGGCCAGCTGGACATCATGCGCCTGCTACTGGAGGCCGGCGCAGACGCCAACGTCGCCATGACGAAGAGAGGAGAGACGCCGCTTATGATGGTGGTGAGGGAGGGCAAGGAGGCGGTGGTGTGGATGCTGCTCTCACACGGCGCCGACGCCAACGCCGCGGACTGGCAAGGACAGACCTCACTGTACCATGCAGCTCGCTTTGGCCGGCTGGACATCATGCGCATGCTACTGGAGGCAGGCGCAGACCCCAACATCGCCGCGACGAAAGAAATGGAGAGTTTCACCGCGTTGCACTACTCCTGTGATCGACTTAATATCGAGGTAAAACTACAGGCGTACATTGCGAATGATTGAGACCGAATTTTAGCAATGTCCTAATGTATTTTCTCATAGATGGTAAAGGTAATCAGTAATAGTAATCGGTTAACAGTTAATAATAGATATGTTAAATAGTTTCACCGCATTACACTACTCCTGTAATCTACTCGGGACCGAGGAAAAATGCGGGCGTACTTTGTGAACGACGGAGACAATTTTAGCGATATTCTAATGTATTTTTGTCTAGATAATAAAGGTAATCAGTAATAGTAATCGGTTAATAGTTAATGATTTAATAATAGTAATAGTTAGTAATCGGCAACAG